AAACCTTCGCCATCTTCAAATACTTTCTGACTCAGTTTCTTTTCAAATAGATCGGTCTGTATTTATAAGCAACACCTCACCAACGATCCAAACATATGTGAAGGGGAAAAGCGAGTGACAGAGTTGAAAACACACGGGAGGTGTATGGCCTAAATTTGGACTGTTTGCTTGTCTCATTGGAGCTCCTGAACTGAGCTGTCCCGTCCTGACAGGTTGACACCATCATTTACTCATCAGTTCAAGGTCACTTCACAGATTGACAGATAAGGCTGTGGACCGGGGGGGATAGCTGACAGTGGGGCTTTGGGTCTGTTGTTCAGCTGCTAAGGCTGTGTTTACTCTCCGTTGTCTCCGAGCAGCACCCCATCAAAAGCCAGCTTTGCCATTCTGGATTCAGTGAGAGTGAAAGGAAGAAGAAGAAGAAAAAAGTCTGGGGACAAAGAGAGAACAGGAGGAAGAGGCGGGGAAGGGTGGAGGGGAGGAGTGATGAGCTGTCTGTGGCCTGAGAGGAGGGAAGGGCCCAGGGATATGACTGATTACAGGCGAGGTCAGAGTTCAAGGCCAATGCTCAGGCCAGAGCTCGCTGTAAAGTGGGCAGGAAAGGGGGATGTGGGGCACAGAGAGGGGCCTGCAAACAAGAAAGGCAGGTCTTGGTGAAAGAAAGTTTAAAAAAAAAAGAAAAGAAAAAAAAAACCCTTTGAAAGGATTCTGCTACAAAATGACCAGGTTTGTGTGGTGCCCTGTTCCTTCAGATGTTGGCTAGCCTCTCACACACAATTGAAAATGTTCTTTTAGTTACTACATAACTTTCTAAACAGATAAAAAAGGATTGTTAGTCGATCTGAATGATTAAAATTTAATGATTTTTGTCATTCTTCTCTTTTTTTTACCACAAGGGAGAATTTAATTTTCATCCACTGCAGTAAAACTAAACAGGCTGACTTTCAACCTCTCAATTATTAAACTGTCGGAGATCACAGCTTGTGTTTGTCGAGGGATCACACACGGCAGCTTTGGTGATGTAAGAACAATGTATAATGATCCAACTCTGAGAGGGTTTAAATAACCAGGATAGCATATTTCACAGGAGGCTGGCCAGCAAACACTAATAATGAAGGGGCTTCATAATAATGCTGGCAGTGTGTGTCCGTGGTGTCACATTTGTTGGGTTGTGTCAGGAAGAACACACGCCTCGCGTGTTTACAGAAGCAGCCAATCAGCTTATTTCTGACATCACCGCATATTGCCGACACAGCCTCGTCGGTTTCCTGCATTTGGCGAGAAAAGCGTTCGTGCGGCTGAGGAGTAAAGGGCATCACACTTGTGAATTGTCATGTTGGATTATGTGTGAGTGCAAAATGAATGATGGCATGCACCGTGGGGCTATTTTGCACATACAGACTTGCTTTTTGATTAATGTGTGTGCGTGTGTATGAATGAAATGCACAATCGATTCCCCTTCCTTCCCTCTTTGCTCTTGAAGGTCAGCATCATGAGAGTCGGCAGTGTGTGTATATACTGTTACACCGACCACACACATTAATTAAAATCTCCCTCCTAGGTATGTTGCATTGTGTACTCAAGCCTACACTATCTGATAGCCTCTGAATATATCTATATATATGTACGTATCTGTGAAAACAGAATAATTGTGCTACCCGGAGCTGTTGAATGAATTTGCATATCATTATATATCATTTGTTTTAGCTTGGATCAGCAGGTAAATTCTGCCTGATCCCATATATATTTTTTAGGACCTCCAGAAAACACACTACATCATAGGTGTCAAACTCTGGCCCGCGGGCCAAAGTTGGCCCGCAGCCTAATTACATTTGGCCCGCGAAGCCATACCAAATTACTATTAGAGCTGGCCTGCTGGTATTATACAGCTAATATATATATTGTTTAGTATTAAGCTTTGCTTGTTCCATATTCAGTTTTTCAGCAAAACGTGTTTGAGTCCATAAGAAAAGATTCATTCTTATATCTTATATTTTTTTTCAATAAATATTAATGTTAGCCTGCGACTTTGTTCCAGTTTTGAAATTTGGCCCACTGTGTATTTGAGTTTGACACCCCTGCACTACATGGTCTTTCAGGCTCTCGGTAAAACTCACCCCACTGTGAATTGCCAGCTGAGTGAATTTAATATACAGCTAAAATCTGCAAGATGTTTATACCTCAGTGGGAAAGTCACATGTGTTTTTACCCTTTTGCCCTCAAATGTATACACATGAGATATAATGAGTGCAGTAGATGAGTAATCTTATGTAATTATGACTAAAAAATGTTCTTTTAAATATCCAGAGATTGACTAATGAATCTAAAAGTGTTCAGAATTTTTTTCCACATCATCAAATCTTGGCAATTAATGCATGATTAATCTTAAATGTAGACATAACCTTCAATTCAGTTCTGTCCATGTTTATTTATATAGCACCAATTCGCAACAACAGTCGCCTCAAGGTGCTTTAAGGTAAAGCTTTACCTTTACCGTATAGCACCTTGAGGCGACTGTTGTCGCTAGTATTTTGGGAGAAAACCCTGACAATCAGACGAGCCCCAATGATCAAGGACTTTGTGATGGTGGGAAAGAAAAACTCCCTTTTAACAGGATGAAGGATTTTATGACCTGAATGTGTTTTACTAGGTAGGAGTTAAACCAAGTGATCAAGACCATAAACTCACCAGGAAAGACTTTACAGAGGATGTAAATCAAGGGAGAAGTCAAACATGTGTCTCACAATTTTCTTTACCATCTTATTTAAGTTGCCCCCTGCTGGCCACTATAAAGAATGCAGACTTGAGGCACTGGCTTCACTCTGCAGACGACTACACCCATCTTTTCAATACAGGCTATGTCATTTACAGAGGTTTTTTGTTTAATTATAAAAGGTTGACTAATTCATAATTTTTTCAGCATAAAGGACTTTCCCCTCCTACACTCACCAAATTATTTTAGCAAAATATAACTACCGAACAAATATACAGCATCTGTGAGGGGAAAATTATACAAGGAACATATAATATAGATTCTGGATTTACTACTGCTTGAGCCTTGCAGCATATGTTTATATATGTTATCTGTCAGTCAAAGAGAAAATTTTCAGTTTCTAAGCACAAATTTCAACATGATTCAGTTGTTTTATAAATGTGAGAATTTCTTGATTTTCATTAAACAAACTCCCTGAACAGAAAGAGTTTAACATTACACTGCAGACAGACAGTGCAGAGTCTTAAGATGCACAACAAGCTGCTCGGTTCTCTAAATAGCTGATTGCAATTCCTGTTTAACCAGCTGAGTTTGTGATGTAATTAGCTAATGGGAGATCTCAAGCTGAGGCCTGCCTCCTTAACCAATCAGATGGTTTGCATAAGATTCATGTAACAGCAGGTCATGCAGTAATGGTGTAGAGTAGAAATACTGTAATGCTCTGGCTACCCTTTTTCTTTTTCTCGTCTCATCTATTCTTCCTGCCAACTCATCACTTCTCTATTGAACACAAAGTGAGATTCATTTTTCTCACTTTTTCACCACATCTAAGTCTGGCCTCTCATTTATATCTTCCCACTCTTCTTTCCTTCTTTGTTAGCCCCTCAGTCCATCTCGCTGACAAATAGAGACTGGTGGAAGGCAAGTAGGAGTGCAGCAGTGTGTGTGAGCGATGAAGGTGTCTGCTCGCATCACTCACTGCGATGTAGTGTGAGTATTGATTCTTTTTGTTGCATACTGACTTCATATTTCGTATAATATGAATAATAACAGCATATAAGGATAATTGGAGTATCGCAGGTTGAAGTTATGCCTAGCAGTGTTAAGAAACAGGCTGGAAACTTTGGGTTTCTCCAGAAATATCATAAAATCAAGCATGGATTTTTAAAAAACCCCAACTCTTGGCCATGAAGTGTTAACAGCCAAATATACTATACACACACACACACACACACACACACACACATATATACATATACATATATATATATACATATATATATATATACACATATATATACATATATATATGTATGTGTATTTGTATGTATGTATATATATGTATATATATACATATATATGTATATATATACATATATGTGTATATATGTGTATTTTTGCATCTTTATGTGTGCGCTGTAAAGGCTACATTATGTATATATGTATATATACACGTGTATATATATATATATATATATATATATATATATATATGTGTGTGTATATATATATATATATATATATGTGTATCTATATACGTGTATATATACATATATACATAATGTAGCCTTTACAGCGCACACATAAAGACGCAAAAATAAATTGAGGCTCACGCCTTGGCAGGAACGTATTCCAGCAGCTGCTGCGTTATAGAAGCAACACAAATGTGGTGAAAATGAGCATTTGATGATGCCAATGATCAGATCAAGGCAATAGCAATTAATACTGACAACCATATTAGTCCTGTTAGCTGGGTGCAGCTTTGTAAGTGACGGCTGGAAAGAAAGAAATCTGATCTGTGATAAATGCAGTTATCACGTTATGTAACAGCCCAGATGATGATGACTTAATGAAATCGCTGTAACATGTGACAGATTCGTTACAGATCATTTTTAAGAAGAGTTTTTGGGTTGTCATTTTTGTTTTTCATGTAAATATAATATCATAAGCATATGCGGGGTTTTTAAGCTATAAATAAGTTAATATGAGTTAATAAGTTAATAAGATCCTCTGTAGGTTGTTGTACACGGTTCAAGTGGCAATTTCTATGGGAGGAAATGCACTTGACATTTTTGTTGGGCTGCCTAAAGTTTTAGGTGAGGAAACAAACAGCTGTTTAAACAAATTTATGGTATCAAAAGGGACCATTTTGTAGAAAACCTCTGACAGAATGAGCAAAAACTGAGCGAACTGTCTTACTACAGAGCTCTGTGCCTCTGTGAGCATTTATGTATATATGAATAAATTTGAATATGATTAAAGTAAATTTTTTTGTTTTTTTGTTTACCTGTTGTTGTTTCTGAGTTTGACGTGCCCCCCAGGCTCCAGAATCTGCCCGTTCTTCAGCCAGGTGAGCTGCGGCTCAGGCTCACCCCGCGCTTGACAGGTGAAGATAGCGGTGGTGCCGACGGGGCGGGCGATGGACTGTGGAGGCTGAACGAATTCTGCTGGAGCTGTAAGAGAAGGCAGACTGAGAATCAGATCGAGTAACCTCAATCCGTCAAGCAAAAGATGTTGCTGGATAGATCGGTGCCAAAAAAATAGAAATACAATTTTGGCAGAATTAAGAGGTGCAGAAAAAGAAAAAGCCAAAGGGTGAGAATGAGGAAGGGAAAATATGAAAGCCTAGTGTATGCATGAATGGTATAAATACTGCTGTAGAGATATAATTCAGGGTCAGTTGGCAGGATTATGATAGACACCAGATCAATGCAGATGCAGGAAAAGGGGGAAGCAGGAAAGCGAGATAAAGCCATAAGACTTGTGCAACCAGAGCAATACTTGGGAGTAATTTGCCTTAAAACAGCAGTTCAGTTTTTATCATATCTGCTCTCATCACTTGATTCAGGCTTCCAGCCATTATTCATTATTCAAAATGGCAGGTGCTCTATTTTAATTTAAAGAGTTATTAAAATTATACCTGCTGGATTATAATTTTCTACGTTGGTGCTTTTGAATTATCTCCTCTGTGCTTATAATTGTCCCAACAGATGTAAGTGATCTGACAGCCTAATTTATTTATGACAACATTAGCCGAGAAAATTTGATGGTATTATATATACGCGGGTTTATATAATGCCTTTACTGGAGGCGTATCATGATGCCTTTAGTAAAAAATACCACACTGTTCCACCTTTTTTTTCTGTCCCTGTCATTTCCTTCATCATCATCAAGAGAGGATGAGCAACCTGAGAAAACCTGAAATAGCTTGAACACAAATACCGTGAGATCAAAGTGACTGAATCATAGAGGTGACTCTTAAAGAGAAACTTTTGGACCTATAATTTGATGGGATTATAAGATTGCTTAAAAAAGTATTAAAAAAGGTAATGAGTAATGTGCAACAGATTACTGTTTATAAAAAAAGGCTGCACTTGTTTTAAATAGGTTAAGTAATTTTAGCTGGCTCTCTTAGGGACAGCACATTTATGACATATATGGAGTATTGAGGGCTACATATTAAAAGTCCAAACTAAGAGGAATGAATGAAGAAATACAGTATTGTGCAAAAGTCTTTAGTCACGTCTTAATATTTTGCTTCCAATGGAGCTAGACTTTCCTGTCTTTTTTTAAAGCGGTCATGAGCCATAGTTCCTGTAAAATGGACCTAATATGCTCATTTTTATGCATATTTTTAATTCTTGGCATCTATTAGTGTACATTTACATGATATACTTTTTTGAATAATCCTTATTTATCCTATACTGGCCCTTGATGACCCTCAGTTCACCGTGTCTTCTGTTTGACTGCCTCTAGCAAACAGAAGGTTTTAAACAGGCGCTGCGCTGGCCAGAGCTGTACGCTTGAGATAAACATATTAACCACATCCTGCTTCTACTGACATCATACAGCCAAGAGTGGGAAAAAATCCCTCGAAATAGGGTCTTACACATACGCTGGTCTTATTTGAAAGTTTGGCCATATATAACGTGGGCATCCACCACTCTATGTGCCTTTATTTGACAAAAAAATAAAAAATATATATACTAGGAACAAGTCAAACAGGTCAACTTTAAAAGATCTGTCACACTTTCGGTTGTCAAGTTGAATTCCTGTTTATTTTGTTTTCCCCGCTCTTCTGCCCTCCTTCTTGTTCCAACACTAATAAATAAAATGTTGTCTGACACTTTCTCAATGTAAGCATTTTCATTCTTCCCAGTGGAAAAGCTAAGGGGCCGTTAGGCACTTGAATGAGGGGGGCTGACAGCGTGAGATGGTCCTTTCATTCATCTCAGTCCTTCCCAGCTTCATTGTCTGTTTTGTGCACACTTGCTGTGTGCTTTGAGGGCTGACTTGAAGGTGAAGGTCAGAGGGAGCTCAGGAAGGCATTGATTTGCACCTGTAAGGGTGTGGGGTAAGACCGTGAGCACCAGCTATCCATCTTACGCTTGTTTTTCGCTTCTTTGGCCGCTACAGTTTTACTCTTTCATTCTTTGTTTCTCTCTTCTCTCTTTTTGTACCCCAAAGGAGCCAACATAAATCCAGCTTGTTTACTGTGTAAGTGCTTTTTTAAACTGTGACTGTCTTCTTAGCTTTGTGCTTATTGAAGTTCCTAATCAGTGACAGCCACTGAAGCCCTCTTATAGTAGCTTATTATCTATAGAATAATGAGAATTACTAATTAAAGCACACTATTCCATCATAATGGAGCAGTTCTAACACATGTGTTTATGTGTAGTTAATGAGGCATTTGTTGTTTCCTTAAATCAATAACAGAAACCAAAAACAGACAGCGGCACATCATGAATGTCCACATCTTTTTATCCTTAGCAGGTGAGGGGCTCGTCGCAGACTTGACAAGCAGATGAAATGAAATATTGTCTGCGATCGATGCTGCTATAGGCTGGAGCAAAGTATGGTCCGTCTGATCAATATGTGAGTGAGGCAGACACTGGATGTTTCCTGCTTGGTGGCAATTAATGCACAGGGCAGCCCACACCTGCCATATCCTTTTGGTCAAAAGCACCTGTCTCTTAACACTAACATCAAACACCTTCATGATACTGGCTCCAGCTCTGTGGAGAATAGATGAAAAGAACAACAACATTTCAATCAAAATGTTAGAAAGCACACAGAGAATGAAACTTCAAAGGACTATATTTCTTCTGCATGCTGTGGCAGAGCAACAGATTATTGACCTTTAAGTTTTTGTCTAATATTAAAGTTCCCCACATTACATAAAGTATATTTTCTTTAAAAAGACTTATAGGATGTATTAAGAGTTGATTTGTCTTGTTTTCACATAACCTGTACATACAGTAGTGTGTAATCAGCTAGTACAAATAAACTAATGAGTATAACTACAGGAACACCTACACGTAAGACTGGCAAATCAAAGATATGTTATTATAGGATATTTTGAATTTGGATGTATCTTATAGTATCTAGTATATTGTATTATATATTGAGAAGAAGAAAAAGAGAGGTGCTATGGGTTTACCACTTTCACCAGATGATGGTGTTACTTCTTATTTATTGTAGAAAATCTGCATATTTATCTCCTGTGAGACTCACACAACTGTGTTATAAAACAAACAAATCTAAAATTGAATGCTAATGGCCTGTTATTAAAAAAAAAAACTGATTATACATGTCATTTGAGTGAAGAAAAGGCTCGCAGATACAATACTGCAGAGGCATTGTCTCTTGTTGCAGAGCCTGTGAAGAACCGCGGAAGAATTTTAAAAAGCTGCAGACACGAAGGCGTGGCTTTTGAGCTGAGGATACCAGTGCCAAAACAAAGACACAATAAATCAATTTCTAGGCGTTTTGAAAACCAACAAACAAAGAAGAAAGAATCCGTGTTGCTGGGTTTTTTTTTTTTATCCTTCTAGTGTGGCATCTAAAATCTGCAAATCATATCTCCATATGTCATTCTCTAATTTAAATTTGATGGTTATATTTATAGAATTTCCCAGAAGTGCCCACAGTGTGCATCTCATTTTTGTAGCTCAGACTGTAGTATAACAATTTTTATAACGTGGCTTCACTAAACCTCACCAACCTGAATCGAATAAACAGGGCAAACTCGACTGGGCAAATCAAGCCAGGTTTGCAATGTCCTTTAAAAGTGGGCAGTGCTGATGTTGATGTACATACTTTTCACAGGACTAGCAAATTATAATGGCTGTGAAGGCTGACTTGCACATCTTAGACCAACAAGTACAAGCACTTTGTAGTCTAAGGTGCTTTCAGTGGTCAGCAAGACGAGAGAAGTACTATATAAATGCAAGTCCATTACATTACAAGACAATGAAATTGCTCTGAAACTGCTTGCAGCAAAGCAAGCAGAAAGGCTGTGAATCTGTATCTCTTAACGGTGCTTGTCAGGAAAAATGAAAAGGGGTTTAAAGAGTTTCTAAAAAAAAAACAAACTAGAGCTCCTCTGAAAACGCATGGTCTATAGGATCTTCTAGGAATGGTGTCACAGAACTGATTAGTTAGTAGGCTATGCTTTGATACAACTTGATCTGTAATCTCCAACATAGCCTCTTAACCTCGCTAAACCCCAAATCCTGCTTCACGGTACACGTCCCCTGACTCTCCAGAGTCCCATCTCTAATCATCAAGTATCTCTGTGCTCAGTGCCTCCAAATACAAAACAATCTTTGTTCATTCTATCTAAAAAAAACCCTATTTGCCATAAAAGATTTAATCACATGTGCCTCCACAAATGCAATATACTGTACATGATAACTTCCCAGGGTTGGTAAAAACTGCGCCTGGTCCCTAAAGTGTATTTCAGAGACCACAAAAGCCGATGTTGCAGGACTGTCTGCTTCTCGGTGTGATGCTGCAAATCTATTTTGCTCTGTGTTTTTGTTCTCCAATATTAAAGAAATGATGATTCAAATAAACCTCTGCAGTTATTTATTTTTTTTATCTCTTCCTAACAGAGTGTTGAGGATTTGAAACCTGAAACTATTACTGAAATTGCAAAAGCTGAGAGTCGGAACTCTTTGTGAAATGTTTGTAATGCCTACCATACAGACTCTAGCTCTGAGCAACAAGCAGAGACATTTTAGTGGTCTTGTATCTTGCTGGTGGCACAAAAAGGTGTAAAAGTATGCTTGGTATACCAGAAATAGCTGATAATTACTGCTTGGAAGGTAGCAAAATAAAAATCAGCCTGAAATGTTTTGGTATGCTTTGCTTTGCTTTGCTTTGGGGGAAAATCATTCAAAACCTTCTCCCTGAAAAATCTGCACCAACCACTAGATCAGAATGAGGGTTTTAAACTAAAGACCACCTACATAAAACACGCTGGTGGCACAGGAGCAAAGCACTTGTTTATCAATGCAGCAAAACTGAGGTTTCAGTCATGGTACAGTAATCATGTTGCCTGATCCACCCACATAGTGCTGAGCTGTACCTCGTCACGTTCCCCAGGATGTTTCGCAGGTGCTTTTAGTTTCACCCAACTGAAAAGAAAATGTCATTGCTTTTATCCAGAGCTCACCTTGGACCACCAGACGTCCTTGAGCAGTCCTGCGCACACGGGTCCCTGGTTTGTTAGCGGCACATACGTAGACCCCGGAGTGCTCCACACCAACATCTGAGATCATCAGGTTTCCTGTGCCGAGCACCTGGATTCCCTCCACCCCGATGGGACGGCCATCTAATCAGGGAGAGAGAAAAAGAAAACAGTTGAGAAGGATGAGTAAGAATCTATGGAGGTCAGCATAAAAAGAACCAGGTATATGGGCACAGTGGGTGTTTATGTTAGATGGGGGTCAACTGAACTATAGTAAAGATCAGAGTGGGTGTAAATCACTAGCAAGACATCTAATTAACATCATGCAAGTTTACGGCCACGAGCTGACAGAAGCAGCGCTAATACTGTCCCCCCAAGGATGCAGCGCTCACAGCGTGTGTTCCTCAGGACTATAATGTGATAAAGCTGCCAGCACACCATACACCAAGAAAGGTCAGCGAGTTTGTGTTTGAGTCATGTACATGCTGCAATTTTTTAAAACTTAATTGGGACTTTGTGATAGCTTCCAGTGAGAATCATCTGGCTTTTGGGTGCTTTACAGTAAATCAATGCTGCTTTTCTGCTTCTCCCTAACGGATGTTCAGCTAATTAAAACTTTTATGCTCCAGTTGAGACATTCACCTTTTTCAGGAATTTGTCTGAAAAATCCTCAGAGTACATTTTCTTTTAAGCTGGTTTGCTTCTTGGCACTGGAAATGTTTCAGCTGCCAGTCTGGGACCAGAAATTCTAACTGTAACTTCTAATCTTATATCTACTTACACAATCCATAGCAGCCTCCTCTCTGCTTTTGCTGTAATTACATGATAAGCTCACACACTTTCCTGTGCTCCCTTATCTGCAGTGTCAACTCCAACAATGGCTTCAGTCTGCCTATGATGTTAGCTATGGGGCCAAAGGGGCATTTTAATCCCATCTGTGAGTTCCATCTGCAGCCTGTAAGCCTGTACGTTCCAGATATGATACACTGAAAGGCCAGGAATGGAGGGAAGGGAGACAGGTACCACAGCGGACAAAGGAGCTCCAGTCAGAAATGCTAACTATGTGGTCAATAGTCAGTGAATACTTTTGGGTTCGTCCCTTATCTTCAAACTTAAAGCAAGTCACTTTTCAACAGAAAGGTTACTTTGGATAATGAGTTTGACTGAAATTCACTTGCACATTAGCAAGTGAATTTCAAAATAATGCCACTAAGCCTAAAAATGAATTTGCTAATCAGGATTATCAACAAATTATTTTTTTAAGGTTTTATTAGCAAAAGACTGTGAAAACATATTGTTAGTTTCATTTTTAAGGACTAAGATATATGATGTTGAATGCCCATCACAAACGTTTAAGTTTACTGTCGTGACCCACATGACCAAGAGTTTTGTGGAATACTGAAACTGCCATCAGAACAGCCTTCTATCACATACTGCTGGTTGCAAGACAAATGAGAGATGATGGTCTATGGGACTACAGATCTCAGAGTCCTCTGTGGTGGTAAAACTGTTGCTGATGATAACAGTATGATCACCACTTATCTAAGTGAAAAAAAAGACTAAAAAACTGTAAAAGCGTACTTTGAAAACATAATGGCATACTCCAAACCAATACACTGTGGCATATGTTGGCCTAATCAAATTATATGATGACAAAAATGATTACCAGACTCATGATTTTGTGTGTATATTGTGCATGATAATATATCCCATTACTGCACATACAAATGTGCTTGTATCAAAGATACTTAGATTATATAATGGTGTGTATTTTACATTACAGCCATATGTGACATGAATATCTCACTAGTGTGTCTACACAACGAGTTGATGAATGTCTTAATTCATCAAGAGTACATGAAATCTTCTAATATTTTAAATTTTATATACACTGCCTTATCAATGTGGCAAAAACATGTTATTACTGTGTAGCTAGTGCAAGTGTGTAGGCATTATGAGCACCTTTGTCTTGCAACTGTTATTTTGGTTTCTTCAGCCAAACTGTAGTGATGACACATAGTGTCATGAAATGTAAAACAATGAAATCAAACCAAGCCTTTATTCTGGGTGATACAACAGGTCCAAAACCTAAAACTCCAAAGAAGTGCAGGTAAAACAGAAAGCAAAACATACATAGAGCCAAGGAAGAAGGCTGCACAAACAGATAATTGCTACAAAAGGGTGACAAGATGAAATTAATAAATGCAGGTGAATACAACAAACAGAAAGTGACCCAGATCATGACGCAGGAGACACCCAGCTACTGGAGTACAACAGGAAACGACCAAAAGACAACTACACTGACACCAAACATGATGACAGAGAGAAAAGGAACCCAGGAGGAGAAAGGGACAAGCCCTGTAACAACACAGAGATTTTGCACACCAGGTTTTGCTTTTAAATCAGATATGATCACCAGCCCTAAACTGCAAAAGGAAATCATCACAGCAAACACACAGACCAAACCTCATCACATCTCAAGCTCACCATTCAATTCATCAGAAGTGATGAAAAAAATCCTTTGAGTTCGCTTGAATCTTCAAACCAGCCAACACACACACGGCTCGTGTGATAAATGCCGCAGCTTCAATTAGTAAATGTGCAATTATGTGGCGATGCCTAATGAAGACAATACATGTAATTAATGCAATTAATCACGACAAGTCATTGAGATCTAATAAATGTCTCCAACTTGTGTGACACGTGTTCGTCTTCTTCTTCTTCCACATTTTTTTCATTATCGCACTGGGACGTTGTCCTAACAGAAGCAGTCTTGTTCTTTTCTTGCATTTTCCTGTTATATTCCTCTCTCTCTCTGGCTTTGCCATCACTTTCTCCCTGTCAGAGACTAATTAACTTAGTGTCAGAAAAAAAAAGAGCACAAGCTAGGAGGCCGTGGTGCCGCTGTTCAATGAATAGCAGCAAACCAACTCTGGCATTAAGGAGTGACTGATGTGAAACTATAAGATTCATTATGCGGCTTATCCTAGCCTCCCTGCTGTAATCTAATACATACAAATCCCATCGTGTTAGCATTTCATTCTGGTAACACTGTGTAAGGCAATACTGGCAATCTGATTACACCCAGATGCTGGGGAGGGGCTGTGATTTACATTTGGAACAGAAAATCAGATTGAATGAGAAGTAAAGTAAACAGATAGGAGATTGAAAAATTGTTCACGACAGAATCTGAGTGGTAGTCAAGAAAAGGAAAAATCCGCATGAAGAGAGCTGTCTGTGCAGCAATTACTCAGAGGCTCTCCGCTGCTTCCAAGGAGGTTTTAGCATCGTGAGGACACGAAGCAACAGAGTCGAACATCATGTTTAGCCCTAAGACTTAACCTTCAATCCCACTGCCTCATGTGTACACAATAGATCTGTGCTGTAACAAATATATTCTAGTAGAGTATGACCAATATAGGAATTTTACTGACCGATACTGATACCGATATTTGGTGATTTAAAAATCTGACATGAATATCTGATATAGTATGAAAAACTATGCAAGCATCAGCTTGTTTGCACATGCTGTTAAACTTTTTAAGTTTCGATTTATCAGCTGCCATAAATGCTGATGCCAGTGAATTCCATATCGATATCAGTGAATAACCAGTATCGACTGATATATCAGTCTGGCTCTGTATACTTCACAGTGGAAGACAGAACACACAAATGCCACCTAATCTCTCAAACACAAAAACAAGAACACCAGGTCTGATCTGATCAGGACTTTTTTCTCACCTAGTCTGCTCCATGACACAATGGGCCGAGGGTATCCAGTGGCAACACACTCCAAGATAGCCGTTTGGTGAACAGTGAGGGTTAGGTTTTCTGGACCGACCACGATGACAGGTTCTTTGTAAACAGATGACTGAGAGCCTGAAGGGAAAAGGGAGACGAGAATTCAAGATTGGAATGAGCATGATGGATAGCTTCTTTTAATTGGATTTCTCCAAGTGCATTAGCTCAATATGCTGTATCTCTTAGATCTGGCAGCAGGACAATAGGTTTGGAAAAGTCTAGGAAATGTGCTATACAGATAAGCAGAGGCGTATTAAGTGACTGTATTTGATCAGTGATACAGAAAACTAAAGATCCGAATAAAGAAAGCTCATTTAAACCAAAGTCAATTTACAGTGAGGACATGTAGGCTTTCCTCAAATGACAACACACAAACAAAAAACCAGAGGTTTACTCAGATGCGTGCTCAACTATAGATACCAACCGGAAACTGTTAGGAGTGCCTCAGCACTGTGTTTCACTCCTGCACTGTTATGAGCCACACAGCAGAACCTTCCACTGTCCTCCTCACGCACTCCTGTGATCTGGAGAACGCCTGTGGGCAGGAGAGTGTACCTAAAAGACAGAAAAAAATCATGAGACTTGGCACCTTTAACCAAAGTGCTGCAGTTTCTTAAAACAAGTGTCATATGCTGTGGGAGTGTCTGGTTGGGCGTGGTCCAGGTTCCTGTCATTTGTCCCTGGGAGTGGAGTTGGCCAGCTCATCACCTGTTGTCAATCTCCGGGGCTCCACCTAGAGGGTTTTTAAGCCAGCACGGCCTGCCACTCCTCGCCAGTTCGTCCTGCTACCATCTGTGGTAAACTCGGCCTCCTCTGAGCTCTGACTCTGTATATCTGGACCTTGGGTTAATATGTTTTTTGTTTCCTGTATTCTTCAGATTCTCCACCCATCGCACTCACCAGTAGTGCTGTTTTTGGTCTCCATCCTGTCCTCCCATCTGCTCGGAACCCGAGGATTATATACTCCACTTCTCCTCAGCCTGCCCTTCAGTCTGTATTCTCCATCTCTTCGAAATCTGGACCGGACTCTCCACTCTTGACCCTCTTTGGAATACACCCCTGGCAGCCTTTTCCCCGTTAAATGACTAGGGTCGCCAAGTAAGCCCAAGACTATTCACTGGCACTCCGTACCTTTGTCCCTTACTCGTTTGTTTCCCATTCAGTAACATTTCTCCCCTGTGTTTACAGAAGTTCCCGTTAGAAGTCTCCCCGTGCTCTACGCCGGTTTCTCCGCCCACGGATTTCCTTTAGTTTTCTGCGTATGGTTTTTGTTAAACCCAGTTCCGTTCACGTTTTGTTCTTTTCAATAAATTATACACAGTTCTAAGCAAATTGAGTCTGCTCTTGAGTCCACCGCATTCTCGTCCGTGACAACAAGAAGCCCAAGTGGTATTTTGATCTAACCTCTCATTACTGGTGTCCACTGGACGGCTGTCTTTTTCCCAGCTGATGACCGGCTCTGGCAGGCCGTGAATCTGGCACTGGAATCTGGCCACGCCGGACTCCTCAGCGTGCACCGACTCGGGTTGGACGTGGAAATCTGCCATGGCTGTGAGATAGAAAGAGGAGCAGTTGAAATATTAGGTCATAGCTTCACAAAACAGCTACAGAGCAATAAGCTCAGTTGCTTACAGAAAAAATAAGCAGCGCTGCAACAGATGGCGTGGCCCCCACAGATCCCAACATCAGAGAACCAATCTTGGACTACATAAAGAGACAGAATATCTACCAAAGGAGTGCTGCAACATGCTTGGAGCAACTGGCACATTTTCTGCAAGGGAAATTTATTTTAGTATTTATATTTATTTTTAGTGTGTTGCTTTTTCACAAATAAAGAGCAAGTACTACAATTTCATGGAAAATCCACACTTCAACTGTTGACAGAGATACTTGGGTTTTTGCACAAAATGGCACTGATTCACTAAATGCACTTCATTGTTGAGAGCTTTAACCTACCTGCTAACCTTACTATTTCACATAAGCCAATTCAGAGACAAGCAGAACGTTTCTGACATCACTACAAATGTGTAAAAGGAAGCTTTTGTAAAAGAAAACAATCCTACAAATAACAACACAATGAAACACATTCAAGAAGTAAAAGCATAGCTATTTCTGTGAGAGCATGCAACCTGCTTGAGAGGATGTGATACATTTTTCTGCTGCCACTGTGCCTGTCCTTCATATGCAGCTGATGAAACATTTTGTATGCAGGTAAGAAACACATGTTTCCAAAATGGATGCTAACGCAAATAAAGACAACATAGATAAGGCCAGCACCATATAGCCAAGCTAGTATCAATATCCCCACAGAGAGCCTCATTCAGCTGCAGTTCACATATCCACTCCCTGCAGAACAAAGGCGGCATCGAAGGTGGAGCCAGCAACAAACTCAATTAGAGAGAGGCCCTCTTCTTCCACAATTCTCCCACCTTCTTCAACAGAAGTGCATTTAAATGTCAACCATAATTAACTTGGAGGAAGAGGGGTTTCTCCGAAAACTGTTAGCATAACAACGGGAACAGACCCCTTATTATTTCATAAGACCCCCCCCACCCCCTTCCAACATGTAGCCTGCATTAAATTATTACTTGCAGGACCTTTATTTTGCAGGCAGCAATACATAATAAGCGTATTTATGCTTGGTTGCTGTCTGGTAGTTCTTTCTCTGACTTCTTGGGCTGGTGTAGCATTAACTTTGTTGTACTGAACTACGGACTGTGTGCACTTTGAATGTTGTCAAGGTTTTCCTGTTGTGCAGAACCAGAAAAGAAATATGTATAGTTTAAAATAAGCATATAGAAATGAAGAAAACAAACCTTAACCACTGATGCTGAAGGATGAGAGCACAGAGAGAGAGTGGATACTTCATTTAGAGAAGCACTACTTTATACCAGCGGCTGCAACACTGTGATTATTACATTTCAGAGCTTAATGAGAAGCGTGGCATTCTCAAACACGACTTGACCTTAGATCTTGGAATAGATGCATGGCGCTCTAATGAAAATTAAACCATGGTAATCTACTTTTCTTCCAGTAGTTCGCTCTTCATAAGCCATGACTTATGAAGCTGTAGCATATTTCTCTGAAGATACCATGTGAAATCATTTCTCTTAAGAAATGATAAGGCCTCACAAAAGCAGCGGTCCATTTTTACTGGGGTAATTCAGTTTGTTCGTCAGTCTCAAAGGGCCACACGGCCCTCACAATGCCCTACCTAATAAATGTAACATCACTCTGAAGCATACGTGGCTTTAAAGTCACCGAGAGCATCGGAAGTATTTTATCACCAAATCACCATTATGGTCCATTTCAGCTCTTTTTTTTTTCAATTCTTCCTTCTGACACAGTAAACTGCAAGCTTGGGAACACTTCAGTTTATAAAATGATGAAAATCCACTGTAAAGTTGTCAGAAGTTATTATTGTATATTTCAAGTTGCCCCATAGAAACACTTTTATGGGCTTGCACTTCATTTCTAGACAAAAGCAATCAACAATACGTTCTGCCCTGGCCTGCTGTCATACTGAGCCTGGGGCAGAAAGACTGGCAGAAGGCACTGAATTAAAGCCCTGAAGGTGCTGCCACTGCTGATGAAGGACGCTTAGGTGAAATGGCTAGAAATCCTTCAGAAAAACAATGTGCGGAAAACAAGAAGGTCAAGGTGACCGATATGATGCAAGACGAGCGCTGTCCTGGAATAAAGTCTCAAATTAAGATACAGGCATGCACGCACACAGCTGTGTGCACTGTCCGTGTGTACTGGGAACACTGAGGCACTTGAATGCTGCAGGACAAAGGAGGACCAGTGTCTATAGAAGTCTTTCTTGTGCATCTCTGCCAAGTAGTCAGGATGTCTGCTGATCTGGCTGTTGTGTGTGTCCACTGACACAACCCCCTAACGGGCCCCACCCTTTGCCCTCATGCATAAAACATAGTCTCTCTAAGAGGCCCACAGTCCTCCTATTATTGAACCCTCGCAAAATCAGACACAATTTCAAAAATCACAGCGGGGTCACACCCACAAATGAATGCATGCGGCAGAGAATTTGATTAACTCTAAAGAAAAACAGCCATTTATAATCTGCACTTTAGTTGACTTTTATGGTGTATGCTGCAGAAGCAGATCAACGTGATTTAGCAAAGCTATAGCAAACGCATACGAAGACATCCAAACACACAACCCTATCAAACCTCCTCCTTGTGCTCAAAGCACAATAAAAGCAGTAGACAACAACAATTCATTTTACTCATCCAAACACACACCTCCAACAAGACCTGTTCTGCCATTGTTTGTCTATCTCCTGCTCTGCTAAGTGTTGACAGACACTCTCACATGATTAAAGACTGTCCACTACCAGCGTGATGCCGCCGGCTTAAATGGAGCAGGTCTAATTACTGCAATAGGGGAAAGAATGGTTGGGGTGCATACTAAATGGAAATCCATACACAGGCGCACAGTGAGGAGATCACTCCTCGAACATATGTTTGACAGTTTCTCGGTGACAACCACAAAAGAATGATTGAGGGAGTAATATGAGGGAAGGTCACAGAGAGGAAATGTGAAACAAGGAGCTAAGCTGTAAATCAGATCTTGTCAAAAGTGACTGGCACTGTCCTGCTGCGTTTTGCACAATTTACCATGAAGTCGCATAACAATAAATCGGAATCGGGCCGAAATTAACATGAAAATCTCTTTGAAAGGAAAAAATGTCACCCCCGCTTTCCCACAAAGACGCACAAAGGATGAAATATGAAAGCAAGTGAAAATATACCATCGCTGACTATCAGACTTGAGGGCCGATGATGATGATGCTAAATGAGAAAACCAAGTACAATGGCTTCAACGTTTCGATAGCAGATTTTTAGCTCTGTCATGTGAGCAGCTTGTATCTATCTAATGAAGAAACGTAGATTAAACGGTGATTACTGAAATGACCCTACTGGTGAAGTTTTGGCTAATAGCCCCAAGTAATGATCCATTTCTTTATCGCTCTGTGAAACACTCACACAAATACTCCACAGATAATAATTAACACCATTACTAAAAACTGCCCAAAACTGCCTTATTTTTTGGCATCTCCAACTGCAACAACTAAATCAGGCAGCCAGATGAGAAATTTTCATGATTTCCAAGCACCTGTGGTCACATGTGGGTGTTCAGTGATATGACAGCGCTAATGATGCTAGCAGAGGGGCAGATATCCTGCAGTACTGTTCAAAACAGCAGCTGTCGTGAAAAAGCTTCTCCGGTGAACCCCTATGTTGTAATGTCATTGCCCTTCCTTCCATTTGCCTGCGGCCACCCTCCTGCCCCACTCCACATTTTAACCGTTCCCAGCTCTTCATCGCACCTCTCTCCCCACCCCCTCGGGTCCTCTCAAGTCTGTGACATCATTAAGCACATGTTGTTCGAAGCGGCAGTGATGACTGCAGTGCCCACCCCACCCCCAACTCAGTAAACCAGAGATGAGACCCATAAATAATGGAGATGGTGTACATGTACGCCGCTATAACGGCGTGCAGAGTCCGTGCTTCCACGGCCTTTAAATAGGTATCCCTGAAAAAGCAGGCCGTGTGCTGGGACCCTGGACTTGGCATTTTAATGCAGATGTGATATTTTATTAGCTCCCTGCCCCACTAGCCCCCCCACCTCTTTCTCACCAGTCCCGCTATCAGGCTTTGGTTTGTGATGTGTGATGCTTATCACCTACGATACGTAGGGCTACACCTGGTCTTGTCTATCTGCCTCTGACACACACACACACACACACACACACACACACACACACACACACACACACACACACACACACACACACACACACTTATTTCCCTCCATTAATGCTTCAAGCCGACACATGAACATCAGAACCTGCAGGAGCAAAAGCATGAGCTGAGGTGCAACACCTGCCACCTGAGCCCAGAAGTACCAGATGTTCACATGAATGTGAAGCTGAGAATCCAAACTGATTGATCATTTATATGACAAGTACTCCAACTAATATACTATATGGGTAACAAGATTTATAAGGCAATTTGCATGTGTACGATCCTCTTATTTTTTTTCTGTCAGCTTCACTCTCCATTTTGAGAAGAAAAAGGCCCTGTTTACCTTTTTAATTTTTTTGTGATATCACCTACAAATCGGATTTTTATGGTTAATAAATATCAGCGGACGACTAAAATGAAAACAAAATTAAATCCCTTCAAATCTCAGCTTGAAACACAGCAGTTGGTAAACCACTCAACAGACTGACACTACATTTCCAGGACCACACCGCTAACACAGTGCGCAGTGTGACTCTGCTCCATATAGACGGAGAATGAGTCATAGTCTTGTAATTGAATCAAACACCAAGGTATGAGGCCTTTGTGCACAGATGGCATTGAAAAAACACAGAGATTAGCTAAAATTTATACAAACTAAGCATTGTGTCCACTTCAATTTTGAGTGTAATTTTTCTTAGAGGGAATTACCAACCTTTTCTTTGCTTTTCTAACAGCTAAACATGTGAACTCTGCCCCTCTCACATTACACAACAGTTTTAAT